ATTACTTGCCTTTATAGCTCCCTAAACACCCAATGAAATATTTGAATGATCCCCTAAAACACGCAAGTGCAACCAAACTAACATTTTAAAGTCTCATACCATGATATGGAACTAAAAAATATTACTCCATTTCCGAATGATATCTTAGTCATAATTAAATTCTGAAAACAGAGAGGAAGCATAACCCAGTAAAGATGGACGTGGGGAAATAGAGATACTGGTAAACAAGCAGTTAAAATTGGATAGTTGAAGGATGGATAGAAGTCATAGAACTAACAAATAGCGAATCTTGCTCTTAAAGCCTTAATTTAAGGTATAAGCATCCCATAAACCGAAGTCTCCCCCTTTTTTTTTTTATTGCAATCCCATGATTGAATTCTTCACTCTACTAACCACTATATAAACACTAGCATAGTCTTCTACTTATATCATACTAGATTAGTATTAAGAGTTAGTATTACTAATTATAGCAGTTATCAGTAGTAAGCTGAGCTAAAATGGCAGCGAGAAGGGGTTCTTATAACATCCTAGTTCACCTATTCTCGTTGCCTTTGTTTGTGTTCTGCTTATGCTTAGGCAGTTTGCCAGTCGATGGTAAGCAAAACTACAAAGATGCATTGGCCAAGTCAATCTTGTTCTTTGAGGGCCAAAGATCTGGGAGGCTCCCTAAAGATCAACGCGTCACCTGGCGGTCTCATTCTGGCCTTCTTGACGGCTCTCTCGCTGGTGTACGTTACACGTTCTTTATTTACTTAATTTTTTCAACTATCACCATGCATTGGGTCATAATGATATTTTATAACCTAAAAACCCAATTAACAAAGAATTTGAAGATTGAAGCATTAAGCATTAACGTAACTCTGAATGGTGACAGGTAAATTTGAAGGGAGGCTACTACGATGCTGGGGACAACGTAAAATTCAACTTACCAATGGCCTTCACCACAACCATGCTATCATGGGGGACGCTGGAGTTTGGAGGTAGAATGGGGCCTGAGTTGAACAACGCAAGGGCTGCCATCCGTTGGGCTACTAACTACTTATACAAATGCGCGACTGCCACCCCTGGGAAGCTATATGTTGGGGTGGGTGACCCAAATGCGGATCACAAATGCTGGGAGAGACCAGAGGACATGGACACTCCCCGAACTGTTTATTCTGTTTCTCCCAGCAACCCAGGCTCTGATGTTGCTGGTGAAACTGCAGCCGCACTTGCTGCTGCTTCTATTGTTCTCCGAATCACTGACCGGAGATATGCAGCTATGCTATTGATGACTGCAAAGAAAGTGATGGAATTTGCTTTAAAGTACAGGGGAGCTTACAGTGATTCTCTTGGATCAGCTGTCTGCCCATTCTACTGCTCGTATTCAGGGTACAAGGATGAGCTGCTATGGGGGGCAGCCTGGCTATACAGAGCAACAAAACAGAGCTATTATTCGAATATGATGAATTCACTAGGAGCTAATGATGCCACTGACATTTTCAGCTGGGACAATAAGTTTGCCGGCGCTCGAGTCCTCCTCTCCAGGGTAACAAAATTTTTATTTTAATTTTTCTCTTCACCTTATTATCACCCTTAAGAATTTAAACAAAACTTCACCTCTATTTATTCAGAATGCATTAATAAGAAAAGACAAGAATTTTGAGCCTTACAAGCAAGCCGCAGAAGAGTTCATCTGCCGCATCTTGCCCAACAGCCCTTCTACTTCCACCCAGTACACACCAGGTACTACACTTTTCCGATTAATCACTTTACAGTCAGTTGGGTGATAAGTCACTCAATTCAAGAGATATTCAAGCATACTGAAGAAAAAAAAAAAAAAAAAAAAATATATATATATATATATATCTAATTAAAATAAAGTTATCGCATTAATTTCAGGTTTGGGTCGGGGTATTTCAGTTCAGGTCACACAATTGAGTCACTAATGAACTTGTATATAACGTATGTAGGTGGTCTGATGTATAAACTCAGCGGAAGTAACCTTCAGTATGTGACATCCATCAGTTTTTTGCTCAACTTATTCCAAGTTGATGGCAGTTTCCAAGCACACATTCACTTGCGGATCCATTGTGGTCACTTCGAAAACTTTAAGACGCCTTGTCAAGAGACAGGTTTTCATCTATCTTCCCTATGGGTTCTTTGAAATTATCTTAGCACCATCAACTCAAAGAAGCAAATATATACTAGAGTACATGCTAATTCTTGGTCTTGCAGGTAGATTACATACTTGGAGACAACCCTCTGAAGCTGTCCTATATGGTCGGGTATGGGGCAAATTATCCGAAAAAAATTCATCACCGAGCTTCGTCCTTGCCTTCCTTAAAAAAACAGAATCAAGCTATCAAATGCAGCGATGGCTTCCAACCTTACTATTACAGCTCGAACCCCAATCCCAACATTCTGATTGGAGCTGTCGTTGGAGGTCCAAGCCAGAATGATGCTTACAGTGATGATCGCACAGACTTTAGTCACTCCGAGCCAGCCACATATATAAATGCAGCTATTGTTGGAACCCTTGCCTCCTTTGTTAGGAGCTGAATTCCATAAATTTCACCTCTAGTCAATGAACTTTATTATGCCTACCTACACATAGTAGCAAAACCATGCTCTTCATGTAGATACCCTGCCTGTCCAAAGTGCAGAATGTCGAGCTAGTAGTTTCTTTTCTTTTCTTTTCTTTTTTTCTCTTTTTTACCCTTTCAGTTACTCTTTTTTTTCTCTATGAATTTCACCACACACTGAAAGGAATCTATTTAGAAAATGATGTGGAAAAAGCTGAAGCCAAAGCAATATCACCCATTGTGAAGCAAATGTGCTTTGTATTAGTCGTGCATGTGCACGTGTATTTACATGTTTTATGGATAATGATCTCAGCATTATTTCCATCAGTTAATCAAACAGCTCCCTTTCTCTTTTGGGTGGCCACCAGCCCGGGGGAGCAGGGGAGACTCCAGTTACCCCGAAAACCCAAGCTTAAACTACCAAAATCTTAACAGAGATTTGATTTTAACAGTATACTCCCTTCGTCCTAGAATATCAGGGACGTTCGGACTTTTTTCACTATTTATGAACTAGATTTGACCATAATTTTTTAATAACATAATAAAAAACATATTTTATCATAAAATATGTTGTTGGATCGGTATTAATATAAAGTTTCATAATATAATTTTCATAAATATTTAATTATATAAAAATAAAGTCAAAATAATACATTGACATATGAAAAATGTTGATTGTCAGATATTGTGAGACGGAGGGAGTAGTTGACAAACTGCTAAAAAAGATCACATGAATTGCCAGTCTTTTTAAAATTACCAGCAAATGCAGCTTTTATTTTACACCAAACAACCGCAAACCCCAGAACAAGAAACCGCCACTTTGGAACATTATCATCCACGACATGATTTCCATCTTCACTCAACACAGTTCCCAAGTTGAACAAATAGGAATAGAGACTATTAACATCATTCAGAACACCCTCTACCAGTACATAAAAACCTGCAACTCATACCTAATCTCAGAAGCAGCTCCTATTCAAATTATGCAACTTGGACAGCTGATGCCCACGTAAAATTAAAATGATAAAGTAAATCTCTCTATAACATCTATATAAATCTTAAATTTAGCATAAACAAAAATGTGATTTAAGTACAGAGAAGAAACAGTTTATTTAAACACAAAAGCTATAAGCAACCATCACCATAATCAAGCAAGACAGCCTAAGCTGAAAGCATCATGAACCGTATTGGTTATATTAGAAAGAGACTAACAATCCAATAGTTGAAGTCCTCAACATTGACAAGAGCATAGAGTACACTACAAAATTATTAACCAAGAGGTAAAAACCTCAATAGTAATAATTGGATAATTATGCAAATTACCCACCCCAAAGTATCCATCACATCTTCTTAACCATGCTATTATTTGCAGATCCCTTCCCATGGTCTCTGATAAAGGTAAATGGACAGAATTAAGCTTCAGACTTTTCTCCAACTATGATAATGTTAAAGCTATTATAAATTTATAATTGGGTCTAAAATGTTCAGTAAGACCTTATTACTCAATCAAAAAGAACTTATCTAATGATAGAGCTGCAACAAACCATTAAAATCATCATCAGAACTCTGCAGAATGGTGCAAATTCAATGGACGCCAAAAAAAAAAAAAAAATTCTGTCAATCAGACAATAAGAATTCTTACGCTGTGCGTGTGACAGTGCTTTCCTTGACACTCCATCTTTCAGTTTACTTTGTCCTTTATTTTAGAAGTCCATCCTTGAAATCATTAAAATTTCTCTATTACGAGCTTTGCTCAAGATTCTCATAAACCGTAACTTTTCCAGTGAACAGTAATGTACTCCAGTATCTAACAACAATAATTTTTCTCTCTATTAATTAATACAAAGTGTTTTATAAACCATAAAAAATGCAGCACAACTGATCCTACACCAAACATCTCCCAGGAAAACCTTAGTAAGACAGGTTTTTGTCCCAGGTACAGTTACAGAGAATATGTACACTCAATTCAGACAGGTACAATAACAAAGCACTCCTCTCTTAAGGACACAAATCAAACAATTCAACAACCAGCCCCTTTCAATCTTTCATGAAACTTTGACATTTAGAATCTAAAACCATCCTATATCCTATTTCATCCAATCCTGAGGTTTTGTCAAATCCTTTAAGTGCTGCCAAGAGCTATTTCAGGAAAAGCAATGTCCACTTGGTAACACTGAGTGTGATAGATATCCTCATATCCCAATAAAATGAAAGATCATTTTTTCACCAATTAGGCATTCTCCAGTAACTTTCCTTCAAATACATTTAACTTCAATTACATAATTTCTAAGCACACCAAGCTACAATGTCTAACATCCATGATCACATAGTCCAAGGAAGTATGAACCAACCATTAACCCCATTCTTATGTTAGATTTGAAGAGAAAGAAAGCACAATCCATTATTTTGGAGTTACCTCATCATCACACATCAAAATCACAAAATAAAAAGCATCAGAAAGCAAATGAGAAATCGCATGTGATACATTTACCATTATACGTAGCCATTATGATAGCATTACAGTATTCTCTACTAGACCGAATCCTATACTACAGGTAGTCAACTAGACTAGCCAATCTGAATCTACAAGTCAGATTTGCATCCACAACATGCTCAGGGAAGCAATCATATTACTTGTTTAATAGCGTCCTGGTCTAGAGCGGCTAATACTATCCAAAGACGCCCCAAATACTCTCCGTGAGTAATCTTGATTGTAGCCATCATGACGAGACCTGAACGGACTAGAGTCTTGGTCTACACCAGGGGGGAGTAAATCTGAAGGAAAAGAATAATACCATTTAGTTAGCAAATGTACAAACAAAGACAGGTCCAAAAATAAAGAGGAATATAATATAAAGGGGAAAAGAAAAATGAATGAGTAGATCATACATCAACCAGGAAAGAAGGGAAGAGAAGTAGAAACGCTTCAGAGAAATAGATTACCTGGCTCATAACGGCCTGGGTTTGTTGAGAATCTACTAGAATGTAATGATCGAGTTTGATAAGGATCTTCCATACTGCTAAAAGGTTCAGGTTTCCTGGACCTGAGGGGTGAATTAGATGGGTGCATCGATGTAGAGGACATATTAGCAGCTGCCTTATCTTGCCCAGAAATCTGTCCATAAAAACAAAACATTATTAACAGAGGTAAATCAATTATCTTCCTATTCTACGAAAATATATCAAATAATACATGTACATGTAAATTGCCCAATGCCCATATTACGGCGCCATAATACATCCTGGCGCACAAGTTCCACTGATAGAAGTTTAAACAGGTCAATTGGTCATACAACAAAAGTAATTGGTCATACAACAAAAGTAGGAAATTGAACTTACTAAGATCCCACCAACCATATGAGGAAAAACACGAGACTAAAAAAAGCCTTATGAAGCTCCAACTAAATGTCAGAATAAGATATGCTGAGAAATTAAGGAAGGGGACGGACCGCAAATTTCAATGTCCTGTTGTACAGAGTCACAAGGCCAGAAAAAAGCCTGACAGCATAATTCGCAATCTCTTCTGTTTCATACTCTGCAAAGGCAAAACCCTTAGGTTTATCTGTTTCTCTATCACACGGAATGTATAAATCAACTACTCGCCCTGCTTGGATAAGGATGTCATATAGGATCCTATCAGTAACTCTCTCATCCAAATTGCCTGTGTGGAAAAGAGTTAACGACATTAGCATATGGAATATTTCTAGGAAACGGCATGAATGAATACACAAGTATTCCTTATGTATGAATTGCGAGATTCCTTTGAGACTTATCGTGAGTCAAGTGCACCCGATAGAATTCACTAAACATGAACTGGGTACTTAAACCATTCAACCATAGATGCTTAGCAATATTTAGATAGGTCATCATACATAGTACATGATTATTTAATTGATTCAGCAAATTCGGAGAACTCGATCCAGAAATAAGACTAAATAGTCAAAGTGGATGCCTACAAAGAAGTGAAGAACCAGTGTAAGTTTTCTTCACAAACGTGAGCATCTTAGCATCCACAATTATGATTCTTCATCAACCATACAAGAGTTAAAATCGATATTCGGCATCATTTTCTATTCCTAAACAATAGAAACCGTCTACAAAGAAGGGTAACAGGTTTCGCAATGTCTATTCACTACAGCTCGACTCCAAGTTAATCCAAATTGTACAAACCTAAAAATCAATCAGTAAATTGCAAAAATCACAACTTTACAACGTAATTTAACAGTTGATGTAATTGTAAGCAAAAATCTCATTAAATTGTTAAACATATAATACTTGTATAACCCTAAACCCAAATTTCCCAATTCAAGAAGCAACCTTTAACAATCGAATCAAACTGTCAATCTAATACTCAGCAACAAAATAGCGCAAAAACATAAAATTAGGGTTTCCATGAATAAGCAGAAGCATAAATTAAAAATCAATCATTAAATTAATGAATTAAACAAAGAAAAGAGAATTTGAAGCAAGAAGATGAAGAAAGAGTACCAATATAAACTGTGCTCTTCGGATTTTTAGACATTGTAAGAGTATTGACTCGTTGAAAAAAGTTCTGGAAATGGAGAAACTAAGGTGTCGCGTTGAAACTGTGGACTTCAGTGGAGGAGTCGCGTTAATGTGGGCTGATAATGCCTTTCAAGTTTCAACTTTGTTGACTGTTGCGCCATATTCACGACTCACATAAGTCACAAGGCCATAAGGGTAAGATCGCGTTTTCGTACGTCTTCACGTCCCCGGTTATTCGCTTCATAGAAATATTTCACTTTATTAAGTTTTAGTTGAGTGGGATTGTAAGAAAGACAAATAGTAGGACTTAAAATACTTTTGTGAGAGTAAAGTAGTGGTCTCTATGAAAATTATTACTCCGTGGTATGGAGCAATCTTTAAGAGACAACTTAAAAAGGAATTTAAGGCAAACAAAAAGAGATAGAGGGAGTATTTAGAGTGTTTGATAAAAGAGAGATTTTGTTAGGAGGATTTTGGAGCAAAAAGAGATGTTAGACCATTTTAAAAGCTCTATGTAGGAGTTGTTTGAAAAAGTTATTTAGATTCTAATAGACCTTTTAGCTTTATTGTTGTTTTATACGCTAAAACATCTAATAACTAACAAATATTTACTAAACACTTTTACACATACAACTAATTTCAATCAGGTAGTCAAGCACAATTAATGCAAAACAATTAAACAACTAAAGCTAATTGTCAAACAAGGGCAAAGAGCTATTTGGGTCCAAAAAGCTCATTAAGGAGCTATTTAAAAGACGAAGTAGCTTTTAGTCTTTTGATTGTTTATACACTAAAACTTTTAATAGCTAGCAACTGCTTGTATTTACCAAGTACTTGTATACAAAATAGCTAATTATGATTAGATGGTCAAATAAGATTATGTAAACAACTACCAACTGATAGCTAGTCAAAATAGCTAACAGCTAATTGCCAAACAGGGCTAGATGAGCTTTTTGGAGAGCTTTTTAACTTATAAGATCTATTAGAAGTTTGAGCATTATAAAAAAAAAAGGCTAATTTGGGAGTTTGGTAAACAACTTGTTGAAGTAATAACTTTTTTTAGCTCAAATCTCTTTTAAAATAACACATAACCAGAGTTTCTTAATTTAATTCACCCCTAATAATTAATAGTTATACATCTACAAAATAATGTTAAACAACCAACCTTACAACATCATAAGTCATCAACATATCAATTAATGCATAGTCTTCAACAAATCAAAATACTCAATGATGCATTCCATGCCCAACATCATAAGTCATCAACTCATCAAATCACTTACCGTGTGTGATCTAATTAGTTAATGACTTATGATGTTGGGCATGGCATGCGTCATTGCGTTGTTCCCTTACCAATTTGTACATAAGATATATTTTGCTTTTCTTATATGGTTTAAATACTTGAATCATATACCATTCATATAAAAAAAAAATAATAATAAAAAAAAAACATTACATGTTTAGAGCATGTTTAGTAAGAGTTATTTTGGGTTGAAAACGGATTCAATTAAACCATTATTGTTACCAAGTGTTTGGTTGGAAGGTTTGGTAACAATTACCATTACCTAAGGGTAATGGTTTCCAACCATTTGTTACCTCTCTAAAATCTTAGGTAACAATTATCCTTACTCAGTCTCCTCAAACAAAAATAAAGGAAGATAGGTTTAAGTGATTCCTTTTTATGATTAAACCAAACTAATAAAAAGATAGTGTTAAATGATTTCTTTCCTCCCTCTTATTTATTTCTTTTCCACTCCATTTCCATTATTCATACCAAACACTCCATTAACGTAATGTTTGGTTCTCTAATTTTACTAACCCTTTTTGTTCCAACATGTAAACATTGGAAAATAAATACTCCGTAGTATTATTAGTAATGTAGTCAAGATCATGTGGTAATACTAGTTAAATAATTGGAAAATTTGTCAGAAAAAACCTTTTAAAAGCTTTTTGGTTAAAAAAAACCACCACGTTCATTTTTTTTGCGAGAGGAAACCTATTTCCTTAATCACCCTCTAATTAACTTAATTAGAATCTAATTTTTTCTTATTTCTTCTAATTAACCTCTAACCCATCAAATTATAAATAATTAGATATTTTTTATATATAAAAAATATAATAAAAAAACCACCACCCCTCCCCTTCCTCCTCCCTTTCCTTCTCCCATGGCAGCAACCCCCCTCCCTCATCGGACCCGCTGCCCAGATCCCCCCACCCCCGGCGACCTCCTCCACCGCCGAACGACCCTCCCTTTCCCCCTTATCACCGCGGCGACAAGTCAACAACCACCTCCTTAATTTTGAAAAACCCTGAAAAATCGATTTGGGGGTTTATAATTTTGTGCATCTTGCTTGTAATTGATGCTTGTTTTGGCTTTGATTATGTATGTATGTGATGCTAAGGTGATTTTGAAGCAAATTACAATTGTTTTGGACTTGATTTGAGCATGTTTAAGTAGATTAGAACCAAAAAATTGAAGGGTGGTGGTGGTGGTTGCCAACGGAGATAAGGGAGGGTCAATCGGCAGTGAAGGTAGGTCGCCGGAGGTGGGGGGATCTGGGCGGCGGGTCCGGTGGGTGAGGGGGTTGCTTCCAGGGGAGGGGAAAGGGAGGAAGAAGAGGAAAGAGTGGTTGGTTGGTTGTAGGGGTGGTGGTTTTTTGATATATAAATTAAATCTAATTATTTAGTAATTGGGTGGGTTAGAGGTTAATTAGAAGAAATGAGAGCATATTAGAGTCTAATTAAGTTAATTAGAGGGTGATTAAGGAAATAGGTTTCCTCTCGCAAAAAAATGAACGTGGTGGTTTTTTTTAACCAAAAAGCTTTTTAAAGGTTTTTTTCACAAAATGGTGCTTTTAAAAGGTTTTTTCTGACAAATTTTCCTAAATAATTCAAAGTATTATGATGATTAAATTTTAAATTTGATCACTTTCAAATTTATTTGGAAAATATGTACTCCGTATTTGTTCAAAACATTATACCCAAAGTTAATTCAATTCATGGGCATCCTTTTAGTTTTATTGATTACTGAATACTCAATAAGGTAGGATATTAAATTGACTATTCGATTCGGTAACGATAATAAATGATCACTCTTACTCACCATGATTAAGTGCAATTTATTTCTTGAAATTAATTCTAACTTCTAAGTTTAAGGTTTTGTTAATTACAGAGTAAATAGATCAGAAGTCATCTTTAAAAAGTACATTAATAACATACATGATCTGATGATCGTTATATAATTACCATACCCATAATACTCCATATGAATGACAATTAATTTGATTAACTTAAGTATTGAGAATAGCAAGATTTAGTGACCAGGTAGTATTTGGTGTAGACGTGTAGTTGATAAGAGTATCACCTCACGACTTCATGGGTTTCGATTCCCACTGGCTAGAGGTGCTTATGATGCGAGTCGAGTTTGAGTTTGGGTAGCTCGACTCGACTCGTTAACATATTGAGTTGAGCTTAATCGAGTCGAGTTTTGACCGAACTTTGACCGAGTCGAGCTTTGACCAAATTTGACAGAGTCGAGCTTTGACCGAGTTGATTTCGAATAGCTTGTCATTTGTTCCGTCTTAGTAGAACTCTGTATTTAGTGTAACATCTCTTCTTCTCTTTAATTTTGTCACTTGAGAAATATACATATGATGATACGAGTACATAAATAACGTTTTATTTATTAATTATTAATATAAAAAAAAGGTTTTTTTTATCAAAATAATTTAATTTTTAGTGAATATAATATTATATAAAGGAATTCGAGCTTTTCACGAGCTTTCGAGTCGAGCTCACTCGAGTCGAGTTTTGACCAAGTCGAACTCGAGTAGCTCGCGAGTTGTCTCGTCTCATAATCACCCCTACTATTGGATGTGGTTCTTAAAAGCCGGAGGCTCCCTTATCTCCCTCACCCCCTTCCCAAAAGCCTGCTATACGTAACTAAGTTGGTTTACTTGAAAAAGATATTGATCTAGTATGGTCGTTCTCCTTACCCACCAATATAAAACCAAAAAAAAAAAAAAAAAAAAAAAAAAAAAAAACTTGATATAGTAGGACATAGAGGTGTCATTCAAGTGTTTGGATTCCGTAAAGTTAGATCGGATCTATTTTTTAATTTGAGTCATACAAAATTATTATTTCCAAATAAGTCGATATTTGAATTTAATTTTTTTAGATTGTATCAATCGGGTGAATTTTTGACACATCTAGAACTCTTTTTTTTTAGATTAAGGTTTGACACATCTAGACTAGTACACAACAAAATACATAATTGGAGTTCAAAAAGAAAAAAATACATAGTTGGAGTTATGTCGACATAAAAAAAAACAATTTAAATTGAAAAAAGCCTAAGATTAAGGAAAAACAGTGCCCATAAAAGTTGGTTAAATTGCCATACATCACACCACAGCAAACAGGGCGGGCAAAATACAGCAATACAAAGTCCACGTGGAAGAGTGTAATACCTGCTGTGACGTGGCGTCTAAGAATCCGAGCCAATGATGCGATCACAGCTCAGCGACAGACGTATTTCACCAATCCCCATCCATTTTACAACCGCCTATTGTAATTCACCAAATTTTTAAGTGGACGTTTCACACGTAGATCCACCACTAGTACTACTATACTATACAACGATTAGTACTTCAAAGTCTTCAATTCTATTATCAAATTCACTTCGAACATAACTTTTTTTTTTTTATAATAGTACTCATATTTTTTTATTTTAAGGTGCGATTGAAGGGTTATAGAACATAGAAAATCATTTCGATACGCAAAAACTACCTCGAAATAAAATTCTAGAGGGATGTGTGAAAATAAATGCAAAACCGCTAATCTAAACCATTGGAGTTGTTGAAGCTTCATATTTGAGGTAAGAGTGCTATTTTACTTCAAGTTGTTCAACATTATTAATTTCAAGTTAATGTATTCAACTTAATTAAGTCAATTAAGGAAACCAGAGAAACCTGACATTAATCTATAGGAATAAATCACCTGCATATGGTGGTCTACTTCCTTTTATCATGATGTAGATATATGATTATATACATAGTGGTCGCTATCATATTAAATGTAATGTAATCAAATAACACTCAAACTCCCATTTAATTTGCACCTCCAAGATTTTTCTAATATATACTTCATTTCTTATCACCGTAGACTTTG